AGGCTTTTTTTTTTTTTTTTTTGGTTACTGATACGAATAAGTTCTCTTTCAAATAAGTTCTTTCGTAAATTACGATTAATACACTGGAGCTTTTAAAGACAGTATTTTAAGGATGAAAGTCATTCATGTGGCTCTTTTCAGAATACTTTCTAGGTTTTCAGTGTGCATCAAAATAACTAGTGTCTCTGTACTGCTTATTCCTGACCATACACCTTTTGCTTATGTGCAGTATGTCAGTAACAAAATCTAATTCTAGTAGAACAAAGAATCTTTAAATTTTTCTATTTGCCTTTCTGTCTCTTTTTTTCCTTCAAATAGAGCTCTCATCAGCTGTGATTACAGCTAAAACAGTTCTTTGTAGCAAGTTTGCAGATGATACCAAACTGGGAGGAGTGACTGATACCACTGAGGGCTGTGCTGCCCTTCAGAGGGACCTTAGACAGGTTGGATAATTGGGCAAGGAGGAACCTCACGAGGTTCAACAAGGACAAGTGCAGGGTCCTACACCTGGGGAGGAATAGCCCCAGGCACCAGTACAGATTAGGGGTTGACCTGCCGGAAAGTAGCTCCGCGGAGAGGGATTTGGGAGTCCTGGTTGACAACAAGTTAACCATGAGGCAGCAATGTGACCTCGTGGCCAAGAACGCCCATGGGAACCGTCGAGGGAGGGGATCCTGCCCCTCTGCTCAGCTCTGGTGAGGCCGCACCTAGAGCGCTGTCTGAGGTCCCCAGGACAAGAGGGACATTGAGCTTTTAGAGAGGGTCCAGCGAGGAGCCGCAAAGATGATTAAGGGACTGGAGCATCTATCATGTGAGGAAAGACTAAGTGAGCTGGGCCTGTTTAGCCTGGAGGAGATTAAGAGGGGATTTGATCAATATGTACAAATACTTGACAGGAGAATGTAGAGGGGATGGGCCCAAACTCTTCTCAGTGGTGGCCAGTGACAGGACAATGGGTACAAGTTGAAACACAGGAAGTTCCATCTCCATGTGAGGAAGAACTTCTTTACCGTGAGGGTAACAGAGTCCTGGAACAGGCTGCTCACAGAGGTTGTGGAGTCTCCTTCTCTGGAGATCTTCCAAACCTGCCTGGATACAGTCCTGTGCCACGTGCTCTGGGTGTCCCTGCTGGAGCAGGGGGGTTGGACTAGATGATCTCTAGAGGTCCCTTCCAACTTCCATCATTCTGTGATTCTTTGATTTTCCAAACTCACCAAAATTCTTTTTTTTTTTCAGGTTTCTGAGAAAGATTGCTTACAAAAGTACTTGTCTATTCAAGGCAGCTTTCCTGTTCTTTTGTTAGCATAGCAGGATATATTGAAAGCCTTTAATTGCCCTAGATTTTGTAAGTCAATAGAAAACTGATACTCCAGAAATGCACTAGGAGTCCAGGTGATCGTTGACAACAGCTATAGTTACTTTCCAACTGTTGTCTTTCTTTGCAGTGCTGCTTTCCAAGTGGGAAAGCAAGAACTATGACTTTTTTTTTCCTTTTTTTTTTTTTTTTTTTCTCATTTGGTGTTCTCTAAGTTAGTATTTTATTTTGCACCTCTCACGTCTGCCACTGAAATTTTTAGCGTTTTGTTTGCATAGGATACAGACACCCTGCTGTATTTGAATGCAGGCATATATACTGACTTCTGTTTGGGGACCGTGTGAGAATGGCTGGGATGCTGTAGTCCCATACACATGATGAGTCTGCCTTTTTTTTCCTTAGAGTACATCCTCTAGTCTGATTTTGAGCTATTACAGCACAGAAACATCTGTGCTGATATCCAGTATTCAAATATTCAATTTCAGATCTTGGAGATGCATAAAACATATCTAAATTCCACTTTCAAATTGCATTTTGCAGCTGTGACTTTCTATCAAAGCATTTATTTTCATGGCACTGTCTGATTATTGGGGATAACACTGGTGCTTGGTGTGCTGGGGGCAATTACGTGTCAACAAAGTGAAAGGGAGATTTGCTACTTCCATGTAGGTTGTTACATTTGCCCACTAGGCTGAGGTGGAGAGCAAGTATTTTTAGGTTCATTTCAAAGAGTGGATGATTAGGGAGTCAAAATTAAGTGCTCCTTGGGCTCTTCTGTCTTCCCATCACGTGGATATGTGTGGGCCTGGAGGGCCAGTTGAAGGGCTCTGTTAGTATCTTCGTGTTAAGAGCAAGGATCCTAAATCTTGTGGTACTTCCATACAAGCTGCATTGGCTCAGGTTGGGCAAACCTATCTCTCTCTAGCAAATTAAGCGCATTAATTTCTGGGGCATGTCATAAAATTCTTATCCTCTATTGTTAAAGGAAATGGATCTTTCCGTAGACTAGAAGTTAAACTTTTTGACATGTTCTACAAAGCCTATTTAGATGAGCAGCTGTAACAGACCTCAAGCAACATCCTGTCTTTTTGGACAGGTCAGTTTGTCGCAGAATCTGATACCTCAACAGGCAGAGATGTGAATTTGTTAAACTGAGGATGAAGCGCATTTCTGTACTGATGGGAAGAATGACTGCCGAGGAAGTCACCAAATGCCCTCACAGTCTGGTTTGGACCTTGGGCGTTTTCACTCTCCAAGCAGCTCCCGTCCTTCTTGGAACAGGCCGCTTGCAAGTTGCACTGAATGAATTCAGATGCGGCATTTTTTTTTTCTATTTCCAGTAAATGAGAGAATAGTTTTACATCAGAGCCTTCTGGGGACAAACCAAAGCCTAATTTGTGTTTATCCTGTTTTGAAACAGCTCCATTTTTGTAAAGGCTATGGGGGAGCAGGGGGGAAGAGGAGAGAAAATGAGAATATGGAAATATTTTCATGTCTGGAGATTGATTTCTCAGTTCTTTTCTATAGCTTCTGATTTAAATTTCAAATCTTTATATATATGTATACATAGAGAGAGTTTCTTAACTAATATTAATGTCAGTTAACATGGATTATTAATAATTTTGATAGTAAACCATCACTTACCTTTTCATTCTCAGGTGCATTGTTTTCATCGTTTAAAAGACTGTTCTCTGTGTTAGCATTTGTAACCCCAAACTTATCTGGAAATCTGAGAAGCTATCGTCAATGTGATGTTCAGTGATAGAGACAAAATCAGAAAAAAGAAAAAAGAAAAAAAAAGGAAAAAAAAACCTTTCAGCTCTAGTATTGAAAGAAAACTCTCCTTTTGGCCACTAGATTAGTAATGGTGTCTGCTGAATATCTGGGTAAGGAGCTGTTTAACACTGATTCACATGACCTCCCACAGCATGATTAACAGCAAAGAAGTTCAAAAACCTGTGCATGTTGGAAGGAATTTCCCCTCCTTGGAAGGAGGGGTCCTAATGTATCTGAGGAAAGAAATAGAGAAAAGTAAAGCAGACCTCCCATTGAGAGGAATAAAATGTATTCAAGGTGAGATGGGGCCGTGCTGACTTAAGTGAGGATCTTGATTGTATTAGGTAAGCTGAGGGTGCAGCTGTTTGTTAGTATTTCATGGCATAAGGAGGAAAGCAGTACTCCATTTACTTGGAATTTGCCGCTATTTTGTTTAATCAAACAGCAGCTGTGAACTACTTGCTCAGACTTGTTTTCAATGCCTGTGTGCGACCAAAAGC